TGGGTATCAAAACTGAACAAAAGTAATAACTTAGATACTAAACATGTAGTTTACCCTAAAGTTAAATGTATATATTTAGATGTAAGCATTCCTTTTTAAGCTTAATTAGCAACTTCAATTATGATGTCTGTTTGGACCTTCCAAAACATTATTTTATTATTATTATTATAATCCCAATGCTTCATTTGTAGGATGCAATTGGTGAAGATTTCCCCCCCAAAGCCACTAATCATTTTTTATTATTAATTTTGTTTTTGATGCTATTGCTATGTCATCATTATCCTAATCCAGGTTAATTGGTGACTTAATCAAAACTTAAATAGTAACTCATGCGTGTGGCGCACGCGTGTAGTCTCAACGTCGCACCAAGATACCATTCCCATTTTTCTTGTCTTGTTATCCAATCCCTTATACGGTGTGAAAACATGGTATACTTGTACATTTGGAAGTGACATTAATTATTAAACATAGATTTTGACGAAAATATTTTATATAAATATATATATTTGTAAAAATTATTTTAATAAATAATTTGTATATAAGTATTTTGTGTAGTTTCGAATTAAAATTTATCTTAATTTAAGTTTTATTTTAACTTAATTCTTTTTGTTGTTATCTCTGTTTTAAAGTTTGCCTTAATTAATTCGAATCGATACTCGTCACACATCTAATTTTGGTGTAAATATGTTTTGATTATCAGTTTAATAATATATTACAATGGGTTTAAATATATTAATTCGATTGTAATTGTAATTGTGATTAGGGTTATCTTTTTCATTGTACCTAACATTTTGAAAAATAATCAAGGCTTAAATATGATCATAATTTTAATAATTCAAGAGGGTAGGAAAAAATAAATTGAAAATTGACAATGGCATCTCAAAAGCAAAGTCAGTCATTGAATAACCTTCCAAACAATGGGGCCACGTGCATTTTGGTGGGTGAGTTTTTTTGATTTAGTCATAAAACTGACACCGAAGAAGAATATACCATAATTCCAAAATCTTCAAATCTTTAGTTTTGTGTTAGTGTACATTTATAAAATTTTAAGTATTTATAAAATTTTAGATGGAAGAAAATATGATTTTAATATAAAATACAAAAAATATTTAAAATATATATAAATTTAAAAAATTTTAAAAAGAGGATCGTCCCGCCTATCCATTTAGGTCCATCCCTATCCATAGTAAAAAACTAAGGTCATGGCAAGTTATACCACTCCTTGCTTGAAAACGGCGGTCTAATATACTTTATCCGATCACGTGTGTTTTTTATTTACCACAAGAAAAAGAAAACATCACTAAGAACACATAAAAACAAGTTTTACATGCAAAACTTGACGGATTAAGAGGCAAATTACGAATCCCAAGGTTGAAAAGTCTTGATAATTTCCCCATTAAGACCTAATCTCATTTCTTAATAAGATTGTCACAATATATATGAACAAACGTATGATTTTATCTTAGGAAAGATAACATTTATAAATTTATAATGAACCACTTCTACCATACATCCTCTCAATTCATCCCTCATCGGTATGTAATTTGCTTTCCCTATGCAAACGAGCAGAAAAAATTAATGTCAAAAGGAGCAAGATGTGGCGTATTTTGTGGACTAAGGAAATAACTTTTTAAATTTTTACGGGGGACTAAGTTAAAAAACTATAATATATATTTTCTGATTGCAAAGGAAGACACGAGGGCAGATTATAATAATAATGGTAGTATAATTGTGGCTGTTAATTATTCCTTAAGACTTCTTGGCATTCAAACCTAGCACGGCATGGCTCAAAAACAATGACAAATAAAAGTAATATTTTAGTTTTTCCATACTAAAATGAGCCAAAGAGTAGTTGTGATTCAATGGAAAGGTGCCAAAATAGAACAAACTGGGAAGACGAATGAGACAAACAAGAATTAAGAGAGATGGGTCTAAGAATACATGATTATATGTTAGGGGCGACTTATAACAGATTATTAATAGAAAATATAAAAAATATTTAAAATATATAAGAATTTAAAATTTTCAGAAGAAGACTATTACTACTGTCCCCTTCGGACTGTCTCTATATGAGAGGATATGCTAATGATCAAGTTTTTATGATTATCCACAAATATTTTTCCTTTTCTTTTTCTGAGAAACTGATATTTATCATTCAAAGATGCTTTGGGTTATGAGGTTTACGTTGGGTTTGTCAGCATGCAATGAATAGGATTTCATGCTTTGAATCTTATTATGTCATTGTATGATGGAAAACAAAAGTACCTGGGATTTCAAGTCTTTCTTGTTCTCAAACTCCTTTGCTTTTCCATGTACTAGGCAACTTGTTCAGCTGAAATTCAAATACTCACATGTCCAAATGTCAGTCATTATACATATAAAATATATCATCCCTTTATTAAGTACCCAATGAGTTCCTTTAAACCTTGCATTTTATCAGCTTACAGATAAACATCAGATAAGAAGTGGGAAACCTCAGCTCAGGCCAATACAATAAACCCAAGGTGCTATACCTCCAATATACGGTCAAAAACATCTTATTACTTTGTTGTGGGAACCTTGACTTTTGATTTACCTATTGAGAGAAGAAAAGATTATGGCTAATTCATATATATATATATATAGTTAGATATATCATGATAATTTGAAATTTTAAGGTGGATCCACTGTTCCTCTGGTCTATTCCTGTCCTTAGCTTATCATAAGGCGAAGGGTAGCTTTAAATTTGAACGTGCAATCAATCATAACATCAAGTAGTTTGGATATATTTGACCGAGAAAGGGTTAATCATACAAGTTAGACCAGTCAAATGTATGGATGGCATGTAAGAATACGCATCAGCTAACTAAGTTCTATATGTGAAAAAAAGTCATGAAAATGACCTCCTGTAGTTTTCCACGTGTAGTTCACCTAACCCATCGGCTTCGTAGTTATCCCATGTCAAATGGAAATACACCAGCTTAGGCCTAACTTGGAAACTAAAATCTATCACACAGCATTATCTACTCTTTCTCTCTGAGGTTTTCAATGTGTTAAATGTAAAAATATTCAACTTTTCATTCTCTTTTTTTTTTCATTTTCAACTGTCTGATCTATACATGTGCCTGAAACATGCATGCTCAATATTTTCATGCATTTGGAGGATCTTTAAAGGATTATATCTTCGTATCGGTATCTAAATGTGTCCCACATGAGTACTTCAAAAGAAAAAAAGATTGGATTTCTCAGGTTACACGAGAGCAAAGCATATATGACGTATATTAAACAGTATTAAGCTTGACTAATCAGTTTCATTAGTTCATGCCATGCTGGATGCAAGACCTTTCAAACAAAGGATTAGCAAATGGGTAGGAAAGTCAGCCGCTATTAACAGTATAAGAATGTCCATTGTCAACTGTAAAGAAATAACACACCTATAAAATGCAAGTGGGTCAATTATGAATTTGGTGAAGGAGAAAACATGGGTATGAACAGGATGAGAATAAACTGCCAATCTGAGGGCTGTGACATAATTTGAGTTTTAAAAAAATGTTGTCAATGGTGTGGGAATACGCATGCTAGTCCGCGTATACACAAAAGAACATACAGTTTAATGACTTTCAGCCAGGTATTGTTCAAACAGGATGTACTTATGAATATTTCCACTCATTTGGCCATTCCCATAATGACTGTTTAAACACACATAAAATAGATCCTACACAGTGGTTAGCCATACAGCATATGAGACGAATAGGATAGACAAAAAATCTAATAGCTTATCTCTAAAAGCGTTTCCTCATCTGTATTCCTTTTTCACCTCAGATAAACTGAAATTATATTTGATCCAAAGATATTACAGAGATATTGAACTATGAAAAATATAATAGGCATCTCATAGATCCTGCAGTGTGGCTACTATGTACAATGTTTAGTATGAAGAATTTCACGAATTCTAGAGATCATTCAAAATGATCCGTATTTCCTGAGTAAGAAAGCTGAGCATCCTTTCATTATAGGGTTTCTAAGAAATTCTAATTTCAGCATCTTCAATCATTCAAAAACATTTTCTTTCAGAAAGATAACTAGGTTTAATTCATCGTCAAATGGTATACCATCAAACAAAAGAATATGTAAATGCAACTCAAAATATGTTCCGAGAATGTCTTACAGAAAGTTGTACTACTAGGAGCAGTATGATCAGCATGACAATGGTGAGCTCACAACAAAGGATCTGCAAGAACTAGTGGATAAAGTATTGCAAACTAGTGCTACAAGATCTATAGACAGTATCGATTTCTTGTGGCAGGAACAATAGTATTGCTAGCCCTCTTGCCCCATGCTCATAAGACTAAGTAGCCACACCTTGTACATTAACTACATGAAAAATCATACTCAAAAGATATTATGTGCATTTTGTAAAGACAGAGATATGACATTCATGGTCTAACACTTATTTAATTTGAGGATATTAAGATAGTATTAAGAAATAGTTGCAAGGCAAAGAGGCATCCTGTATAAATTGTTGGTGATATCATGCAGGCCTGATCAAATATCTTAGAGTCAAGTCTGATCTGGTTATCCATCCGATTATTTTGCAATTGATTATTCTTCAAAGGAGCCATTTTTTGCACTGCAAATTGCTTACCAGAAATCCAATCCTAAGCATTTCATCCATCATTAGTTCATGCAATAACTGGTTTTCCTTCAGCTCCTTCAGCTCCATACAGAACTTGTATGCTTCGTCAAACATCCATTTAAAAAATATCCCATGAACCCACAAAATATATGAGCTATTATCATGACCAACTACCCCCCCTTTTCAGTCATTTCATTTCACAACTTTAAGACATCATTGAACTGGCACCATGGACTAAACTTTCATATCGGAATTATATAGGTATGACTGGTTGGTTGACATCCCATTTTTTTCAGCCTGTGTAAGAGAATTGATTACGACACTTAAATGATAAAAGTATAAATAAATACATAATAACATCTCAATCTTTTTAAAGATACTACTATTTGAGACATGAGTTTTTTCACTGACAAAGATATTACAGATACAACCACACTGATATTAATATAATCTGTTTGTTCAGTTCCGACGGAAAATAATGTAACTACAAATACATTCTCTTCCTTTATTCCTTCCAACATCCGATTTCAAACCTGAACATGGCCACCTACAGCTTTATTACCTGAAATTCTGCTTCAAGATGATACGGCCTCGATGGCACTGCCTAGTGGCCAAGCAGCTTCCACATAGGAATTGCCATATTTCACTTGCCTTACCAATGTAATATCTTGGTAGGGATCAAGGCCTGTCCAAGAAAACAGAAACTTAAGATGCCCTTCAAATAGGATCTGCAATTATGAAATTGCATAAGCTTACCAAATCCATCAATCAGCAGGGTGTACTGATAAACTAGGTCCATGCAAATGTATGCCAAGTCACCCTCACCCAAATCCGGGAATGTCACTTTAGTGTCTGCGTAATTGGTTCCGCAAGCACGTTTAGCAGCGTCTGCAAAAGCATGAGGCTTAACAATTGCAACATGATCAGCAGCTTTAATGAAACCGGCCTGTATTCATGAAACAATTCAGTTAGAACGTAAAATCACTTTCTTCCATGCAATGTGATTCTTGATCAACACATTACCTGAGCTGCCCTGTCGAAGAAAAACGAAGCGACGAACAGATTCTTCTGTCCATCTCCACCTCCTCCATTCCAAATACCACCAAATGTGCACTTCATATATGTACATGTATCATTTATTTTAAGAGCCTTCAGAATCACCCTCCTGCATTCTTCCATGTTTGTCCCCGATGAAGGAGCTGATGCTTTATATTCTTTTCCGTTATATGCATAAGAACCTTATAAAGATAAAAAGGTCGAATATGTTAATTACTTAAATGGCACATATTCGATCATCCATAGAACATAGGATGCATTAACTATAAACTACCCAAACTACATTCACAGTTCACAGTAGGAAGCTGGTTGCATGTGCAGCCAATGGCCATAGAATACATTTTCAGTGATCAAAGCTTTAAAGAAAAAATTAGCTACTGGATGATTTTAATTCTCTATCAGATAAATCTAACCTACCATCAAAACCCTCCAAGATGCAAGGGTTACCAGATTCATCAGATGCCTTCAAAATTTCTGCTCGAGCTGCCAATAGGCCATAGTTCAAATAACTGTATGGAAAAAGCACAAAGTATATTAACTAGGGGTTGTTTGTTTGCCTCTTAATGGAACCGCGTTTGTTTCGCATTTTTGAATGATTCAGCACAGAAGTACATTCTGAATGATTCAAAGCCATTATCAAACAGCATGTCACATTCAAAGCTAATTCATACAGAGCCTATGAATCATTCAACATTTGAATCATTCAACGCTTAATCATTTTGAAGTAAACAAACAGCCCTTAAGCTTATAATGATTAGTAGGATGGTTTCATGACTACAGAGCAAACAAGTGATTGGATAAAATTGACTGCTGTTGCAATCTCAGTCATAAAATCTCTCCTTTGACTATTTTAAATCATTAATAGAATCATAAAACCAATTTACAAAAATGAAAGAGAAAAACCTGTGAATATAGAGGTAATATTTTGATCCCTTTAGGTACATTTGGTTTACATAATTGTCCTCTCCATCTGGTGCACTTGGAGCCTTTGAAGCAGCATCCTTGGAGATGGCATATGCCATTTGCACAGATCCACCACCAAGATCAACTATGCCCACTGTGTCTTTGTATGTCCCTCCCAAATTCCCCAATAGGTAATTTATTGTCACCTGCAAAGGTGGAAGGCAATTAAGAAACTACGAATTCGGTCACCGCCTAAACCAGTAGGAAGATGGCAAAACATACCCACGCATAAGAACCTTCTTGAGATCCATCCAGAATTCTGACACCATTTGCATCAGACTTGAGAGTGCTTCTATCTTTCAGAAGATCTCTAACCTTTATAAGAATCCAAAGCAACATTAGCCTGATGAAATGGAAAAAATAATGTGAACAAAACCAACGTACTTCGAATTTCCAAATGTAGAATTACCGCTTGCAAAATTCTGTCAGCTGCATTGCCTTCTAATGCCCTCAGACCTGCAGTTGCCTAAGCAACATTTAAAATCCCAATTTTCAGCAAGTTAAAAGGATTTAGAATTCAAAAACAAGCATGAATAAAAGCAACTAAGTATACAAACCCCAACTCTGACGGGAGTTTTTGATCGCAAATCTACTGGCACAGCACTTTCCGCCTTTTCAAGAAGAGAAATTAACGAATCTGCTGCAGCCTGTGGATCATTTGCATAGGAGCTCAAACCAGGTTTGATCTGCAACAAGACAAAACCACATAAAATCAATTAAAATGCAGATATATACATTTCTTCCTAAAAAGTTTAAAAATCCTACCTAATCGATGCGGGAAATTTCTGATTTTTGTCCAATCTCTAAGTAAAATTCTCTTTTAAAGTAGAAACTCAAATCTTACTTTGAAATATGCACAATATACATTTCCTTCTTAAAAAAAAGCTAAAAATTAATAATGCAACAAAATTATCATTTTAAAGGTACATTTCTCACGAAAGGTCCAGATTTAATCATATCCTGGACGCCAAAGATTTTGAATTCTGGAAAAAGGCTTGATTCAACAATCAGCCCTTAAACTATACCTTTTCTTATCGAACCAGCGACCTGCATTATACCTTTTTTGAGTCAGGTACCTAAACTATATCCGTAACCCTCCTACCAATATATCCTACATTTTTAAAGTGACATGGCACAACCAAAAAATGACACATGGCACTACGAAAAAGTGACATGTGGAATAATAAAATAAAATTCCAAAAATATCAGAATATTTTAAAAATATATTAAAATTTTTATTTTTAAAAAATAAATTATAAATATTTTGAATTATTTACCATTCATAAATCATACATATATTTCTATTCTTTTAACTTTATAATTTTTATTTTAAAAAATTATATATAATTTTATGGATTTTATTATAACAAAACTTTTCTTAGAGCTGTCACGTGGTATTTTATTTTTTAAATGAGAAGAAATTTTTTTCCATCTAGAGTACGAGTAAAATTATTTTTTTAAGCAGTGTGATTATTACAATTCACGTTGAAAATCATTTAGACGACGTGATCTTTTCCAAAAAAAAAAAGTCCGAACAACACTGCGTCTTTTCCGTAATTGTATGATGGTTGAATTTAACCTTAAAAACAACAAAATTTGGGGTAAAAATAACAGTAACTGCTTGTCAAATAAAATTCCACGAAGATGAAAAGCAAAATTACATCACATTAGCACGTGGTTATCATTTCAAAGCTTTATCTCTCTCTCTCTCAATATTCCAAGTTTTAATCATTGGCTTCTACAATTAAACATAAAACATAAATCAAATCCTAATCCAAAAACTTGGGAGAAAAACATCTTTAATTATTAAAATAATGCGACCAAAACAACTTAAGAGATAGAGAAACAGATTTCATGCACAGAGTTCCATAAAAGGATAATTACTTTTCGTTTCGTTAAAAAAGTAGGAGTAAACTACACACATAAATCTTCGACTATATAATTATATATTGTTAGGTATTTTTAACTATTAAAAATTATAAAATAATTATTTAACTATTTATATATTTTAAATTCGTATTTTTCTGTTAAAAATTAACTTTCATTTGAGTTAGATAATGTTAAATTGTTGATTGAGATATGGTAAAATTTGATCCTGTAATCGTTTGAATTGTATAGTCGTTTGAGATTTTAAGATCGTATATTATTATATATCAATCAACAAGTTAGCATCTAACTTAGACCACTGTCAATTTTTTAACAGAAAATGAAAAATTTATAAATAGTTAGGTGATCATTTTGTAACTTTTAATAGTTGAGAGACTCAACAAAACAATATCCTACAATCAGAGGATTATTTTATAACTTTTAATAGTCAATGGACTTAACAATGCAACCTCATATAATCAAAGGATTGTTTATATACCGTACCAAAAACTAAATTATTAAAACCGAAAAACTTAACCCGAAATTTTCTAAAACGAAAAGATCGATAATTTCATAAAGTGATTTTCTATCTGAATATCACGTTAAAAATTTAATATTTAATATAATATTTATATGAAATTACTTTTTAGATTAATATTATTTTGTATCACATGATGCGAAGATGTATCACGTCAGACATACTTTTAAAACCACATCCTATTATCATATTTTCGGTCTAAGTGATGATAATTTAATCATATGTTAAATAAAAGAAAGGGAAAATTGTACTAATTTTGACTAAAAATAATAAACATTTTGTGATTTATGTCAAAAATATTTTTTTATAAAGTCAAAAAGATATATGTACGAGCTAAATGGGACAAATATTAACAATGCATGTGTTAATCTTATCTTTAATTATAAATAAGTGTATATTTAAAAAGTTAAATTTAAATACTTGAAAATAACATATATTTCAACATGTGATATTTAAACAACTTATGGTTAAACATATTTATTTTGAACTTAATCAAATTCATATTAGTATAGTCAACGATAACTTTTTATACTGAGATTTTAAGTATTTCATAAGATAACGACCTATAGAGTTTAAGATATAGTCTAATCAAGTTTAGGGAACGTCTTTAAGATCTCAAAATCAACTTATTTTATCATGAATTTCTTAAATCAAATATAAAGTTTTTTAAGGGTTTAAATATAACATTTTAAGCATTTATTTATTGAATGATTTGAGACAAAATCAATATATATGTGTTGTTACTATCACTTTTTTCTATTTTGATCATCCTATTATTTTTTTTTACAAAATCATAATTAACATTTAATTATAGTTTTTTTGGGTCAGTCATAGTTAAAAACTGACAGTAATATTGACGTATTACTATAAGATAATATTATGTCATTGTTAAAAAAATTTTAAAATTATCATATTAATAATTTTAATAATTTTTTAACGACATCCTATAATAACACAAAATATAATAAAACTGTAAGAATTACCTGTTCAAAAATCTCTAATTCAGAGCCAATTGGAACAAGATCCAAATTGCGATCGAAACAATAAACATGAACCCGACTCCCGGAACTCCCCGCATCAAATATCACCGCATATTGCCTATCCCCTCTGTAACTCACCCCGACCTTCCTGCTAAGAAGCTCAATCTCCTTCAGCACCGTCGCATCATGCGCCGATTTCCCCGGCATAGCGTACACCACCAACATTATGACCAACACAGGGATGGAGATCACCAACAAAGCGCCTCGATATCTTTCGATCTTATCAGAGACGGAGTCGGGACTCGCCTTCGTAAGCTTCATCTTCTCAAGGTGATCGGTGGTGCCGTTTCCGGTAGGGGATATCGAGCCTCGGTTCATAAAGGGCTCGTGTAATGACTCCATATCTTCCAGTATTCTGGATTTGAGAAGCTTCAAATTTATAGGATTTTTAACCTTAATTAAGAAAATAAAATAATGGAAATAAGCAATCTACGAAGGCAGAGAAAGGGGCGGAGGAAATTTAGTGTTATCTATATTTTATTTTGGTAGAGGGAGAAATTAAATATAAAGGCTGAGATTTTTTTATAAAGATCATAAGATTTTTAAAGCTTTAATAATAAATATATATGTTCGAATCTGAATTCTCCGAGAAAATAACATTCATTTTTATTACCGAAGATATTTAATAAGTTAAAAACCAAAGATTTATTATTTCTTAAATTACATCTAATATAACTCTCAACTATTTGATTTTATCGCTTACATCCATGACATTTTTTGTACTCAAATCTGAGACTTCAAATAATAACAACAATTCTTTTACCACTAAAATCGGTTGGTTTGTGTAACTAAATTATTAATTTTTAAAAGTATAAAAATTAAGTTACGACAAATTAGACTAAAAATCGATTTCTTAAGTTTTCATAACTAAGAAGGATGGAATTTAGTGTTTAATATGTCGCCGACACATTATTGTGACAAAGATGTGGCCAAAAGCATATGTTTCATGCATGAACAGTTTTCATTTTAAATTGTATTAAAAAATTGACACATCAATTTTTAGTCAAATTATACCGGAAATCATTAAACTATTAGGATGATTCCATTTTGATCATTAAATTATGAATTTTATCAATTTGATCATTAAACTATTAAAATTACTTCGATCAATCATCTTATTGTTAACTCTTAACGGAATTGTTGTGAGATAGTTAACGATTTTTTAACGATTTTTTATAATATACATTTAATTTTCATTGTTTTTATATTTTATCAATCAATCCTAGTTTTTAGAGGTGATTATTATTCGAATCTAATCGATTAAACTGAAATTAATTCGGTATTCATCAAATGGATACAAATGATAATGTGTTATTTTATTTGGCATAATGTAAAAATTAGACTCAAACGTTTATCAAAATGATCATTTTGCCCTTATTTTATTTTTTGGAGCAATTTGGACTTGAACATTTTATTTTAGGACAAAAAGGGCCTTAATATTTGACAGAATAATCATTTTGTCTCTTATTCTTTTTTTTAGCATTTTAACTCTTAACGTTTCATTTTAGGTTAAAAAATGCTCATGATATCCAATAAATTGGATTTTGTTTTACCAATCATATATATTATAATCTTTTCTTTTTGTTTGGTTGAATATGACTTGTGAATAGGGATAAGCATCTGATCCAAATCCACAGATTCTCACCCAATCTGATTGGATCAGATTTTTTTTTAAATCGAATTCAGATTTTATTCTCATAAACATTATCATTATGTTTATAAGCTCCCCAATTTACACATAATGCAGAACTAATTAAAATAATAACTATTTTTTACAACTAAACGCTTTAAAATTTCTATAAATAATCATGAGACATTTACTTATTTAATTATAAACTCTTACCTAGATTAGCTTATGGATACATTTTATCAATAGTCATTTCTTCCTCAACTTAACATTAGAGTTTTCTATGGAAAAAATATTCCTTTATATTTATTTTTTTCTTCACAACATATATTAATGATTGGAAAAGAAATTATAAAAATAAACATAAAATATTGAGATACTTGGTTGAATTTCTCAAATAATGTAGTAGAAAAAATTATTTGCTCGAATAATGCACTCGACAGATTATTTCGTGAAATAGACTGAATGTTACACTAAACACCGAAGACGCATTGGAGTCCAAACGATTTATCAAAACCCCTAGCGTCTCCTCAAAGACGCATGGAAATCCATGCGTCTTCTCCCTCCCTGACCCATACCATCCTTGTCGCCCCCGTATAGCAATAATGAAAGATTTTTTTATTGACCCATGCAAATCGCATGGAAGAGTATGCGTTTCCCATTTGAACCTAATTTCTTAGGTTTACAAATGGTTCTATAGTTTATTCCATAAAAAAGAAAATAAAATAGTTATAGAGGAATTTGAACCGTCCTGATATAGAACTTAAAAAAACAAAATCACTTAAGGAAATCTTAGATTTAATTAAAAGTTTAATAGATTATATATATATATTATAACACTAGTTTATACAAAAAATTTTAAAAATTACGATTTATATATTTATAAATTAAATTAAATATTTTATTTTCCATATTTATAATTCAAGGATTATATATATAATCTTAAAATGATTTTTTCAATTTTATTAATAATTTTATTTTTATTAAAAAATAAAATATATTAATCGTTTATATCTTAATTAATTTTATTGAATTATGTAAAATGTATAATTTAATATTGTAAGCAATAATGGAGTCAATAAAAAATTTCAACACATTATCTAAAAATTTACCCCACGTGATTATGTAAGCAAAAATACCTGTGGCCCTACATGCATAGTTGTTTTACCCCTGCATGCATTAATTTATGTGGTTTTTTTAATTGAGCTGTAACACAATATATATATATATTATGAAACAAGATACGAACTACGACAACCAAATTTTGATAAGATATTGGACAATTTGAAGGTATTTTATGATGATCAACGTGTATGGAAGTAGGCTTCGAAATTCGCGAGAAAAATGGTCACAAGCATACGACGAGGGTCGACGATACGGACACATGACCACAAACCTTGCTGAGACAATTAATTCAATACTAAAAGGTACACGTCATCTCCCAATAGCGAGTTTAATGAAGGAGACATACTTTAGGTTGGCTAAGGTTTGGTCCGATAAAGGTAAGGAGATTGAGTGTCTCATAAATAGAGGTCAAATTTGGGCTCCTACAGTGGTGGAAGCAATGGAAGCAAACGAGAGATTGGCAACCTCAATGATTGTTCATAATTTTGACCGAGTTGGTCATACTTTTGTTGTGTCATGCATACGTCGCAACGAAGGAGGAGAATGTCAAACATTTAGAGTTGATTTACAACTCAAATGGTATGATTGTGGTTACTTTCAAGCATGGAGATATTCATGTACTCATGTATTCGCTGCATGTATGTATGCTGGTGTAAGCGCATACAGTTATGTTGATGAGTGTTTTCACCTACATAGGATATTAAATGTCTACAGTTATACGATCAAACAATCCCAAATGAATCATATTGGCCGAAAAAGGATCATGACAAATGGCTGCCAAATCCAATGCTTCGTAGAAGTCCAAAGGGTCGACCTAAGTCCAGTCGTATCATATCAGTATGGATTTTCATGCTAGAGAGAGAGGTCAACCAAAGAGATACGGATTATGTAGTGGTGAAGGTCATTCAAAAAAGAAATGTCCTAATCTAGCAAGATATAGACCTCATTAGTAATCATATATGTATTTCTATGTATGTATATATTTAATTTTTTATAATAATTCACTTGATTTTATAATAATTTATTGTTATTTATAAATCTTTAAATTTATAACTATTATTTATTAAATCTTCAAATTTAAGTTATTATAAAAAATTTCAAAGAAATTATTTACTCATGTTTACGATTGTTATTTTATTTTATTATAATCTTCAAATTTAATCAATTTGGTAAGGTAAACAATTTATAACTAATAATTTTTAAATCTTTGAATTTAAGTTAAGGTAAAAAATATCCTAATCTTCCAAGATATAGACGTCATCAGTAGTAACCATATATTTAATTTTTTTTATAATAATTCACTTGATTTTATAATAATTTATGCGCAATAATTTGTGTATATATTTGATTTTATAATAATTAACTTAATTAACTTAATTTTATAATAATTTATTGGTATTTATAAATCTTCGAATTTATAACTATTATTTATTAAATCTTCAAATTTAAGTTAATGTAAAAAATTAAAAAAAATTACTCATGTAAAAAATTAAAATTATTTTAAATCAACAACATTATTCGAGCAAATACTTTTTTCCATTACATTATTTGAAAAAAAAATGATTTAAAATACTAGTATAATTTAAATATTTAGTTTTAACATATAATAATAACATTTTTCACACTATTACTATTTAAACAGTTAACAATAGAGTTTATAATTGTTGTTGATGTCGGGGTGTTGTCGAATGATAATGTCGAGGCGGACGTCTAATGCGTTGTGGTCGTTGCGGTTGCTCAGGAGTATGATACTCATCCTCCTCATTCATTAGGGGCATATCAGTTGCTCTTGTAAATATATGCCCACCACTATGCTCTCCTATCCACCAGTTTCATCTTCTGTCTCTCCTGGAAATGTAGACTGACAAATAGTGGTATTTGACATCATAGATGTCATTTGGTCAAAGTCATACGTCGATTCAAACATGGGAGTGTAATTGGGTGCATGAGAAGGCATCAACTCCGTCGATTCAAATGGTTATGTTGTTTAACTTCATGTTGTTGAGATGAGCTCCCACTTTCATTCCGTATAAATTTCTCAGCTCTACCAAATTTCCTCTTATATTTTTTAAACTCTTGCCTTTCTCCCAACGTCGTCAGGTGCAACTTTCCATGCTCGAAATAATACTGAAGGTAAGCAGAAGTTTCAAAATTAAACTCATCATCTTCCATTGGATCAATTGGTGGCACGGATGAAGCTCTGTTGTTCCAATCATGAATGTAGTTTGCGTGCTTCGCAACCCAAGTCACGCTGTGCTTACCCCGTCCATTAATCTGTGCAAGGGGTAATGATCCCATGGAATGGACGGAATAGGTTGGTGGCACTTGAACTGCCTCAACACTCGATTCGCAAACAATATCTCAACAAATGTAAAATGAATCAATGGTGTAACAGCAGCCCACGTTTCATAACCCAACAAAACATATGGCGGCACACACGCTAAAACTTCTTGCTCTAGGTACGACATCCAAACAAACTATAAAATTAACATTTATGAAAATTAATTCATTACACAAAATTATAAAATTATAAATAAAGAAATAAATGAAGTTAAATAAATTAATTTAAATTAAATAGTATAATTATATTACATTTTCTAAAATTTACCTTCTTTTTGTTATAAATGTTGATCTTTAACCGAAACTCTTTGATATTATTGTGAAATAGTCATGTCTTTTCTAT